TATATTTATTTATTATTTTGTAGTACACAGTGGGTTGTTATGGTATGTTATTCCGAAAGCTGTAAATAGAATGATGAGTTGGTGACCTAAATATTCCGAAAATCTATTTATAGAGGGAAGTACTCCGATCGGTAATTCCCGGTCTCTCCCGGTCTATTTTGACCGGGATTTACTAGCGACCGGCGAATAGTACCACACGTTTATTGTCCGGTCATCGTTACAGAACGGAACTAATATTTTACAGATAAATAAGCTTTTTTCAAAATGAATGTTTGTCACTTAGTTTGGTTACAATAATTAATAAACACAGATCAACTCTCAAATTTATTGATTATTATTATACATAAACATAGAATTCGAAAAAAAAACCAACAACAAAAATCGCATGTTTTATTTTATCTATATGAGATAAAAACAATAAATATGTACAATAATTGAGAAAAAATGTACATTTTTATGGCATTAATATGACACTATCAACTTTGAAACATTTTTTTTAATTTGTTATTCGTGTTTAGTAAAGCTGCCGAGGAATTATTCAAAGTTACAAATCAGATTTTATGAATTATTCAATTGATTGATAATATAAAAAATGATAAAGAAAAATACAAATGTACATGTATATGGTTTAAGAATAAACAATACTATATTTTGAAAGATTAGCCATAATTTACTGACGTTTTCCAGTTAAGTTTTGACTTATAATCGTCGGTCAATATGACAATTGAATTCTTAAAAAGTATTAAAATCTGTATTAAAATAGCGCATAAAACACAAAAAAGAAAAGAAAACATTATTCATAAAATCTGTATTTTTTTATTAAAATAGGTATTACAATTATTGTATAATAAAACAATTATGCTCAACATGATCAACATGGTAATATAACAAGTGTCATATTGTTACTAAGTGTAAACAGATACCTTAAGAGGGGGTCATCGCTAATAGTGATAACATAATGGACAATTACACAAGTGTGGTGTTGATCATGCGTTACACATATGGATTATAAATGATTGTATACATGTATATCCGTTGCTATTAATTACCACGATTATAAAGAAATAACAAGTAATATTCTAATTTCTAGCATGCCAATCAAAGTTATAAATAATGAACAATGTCTTTCGTCCGTTCATTCATAAGTGATATACAATTCATGTAAAAACCAATGAACCATTTAAAAGTTTATAAGAATATCTTGTCATCATATATCTACTAGTTCATCTGCACCTGCTGCATTTCTTGCCAGACAAGTACAAGGGCTTACGACGATGTGTTGGCACAAATGTTTACCACATCAAGACGATATGTCGCGTCCTAGAACCATGCCCCTACCTTAAATGTCAAGGTCACAGTATCATTTTGAATGTTCACATAATAGCAATTAGAGTAAATAGGTACACATATTCGTGTCCGGTCTGTTACTTTTTCATGCATCGAATGATTTTAAAATAACTAGGCATAAATGTCAACCACATCAAAACAATGTGTTGCATTTGATAATCACGTTCCTACGTCAAAGGTCAAGGTGACACTACCATTTTTAACTTAACTTTATCACAATTAGAGTTTGTATGTACACACATTCGTGTCCGGGCTGTAACTTTGTCATGCATCGGAAGATTATAAAATAACTAGGCATAAATTACTACCACATCGAGACGACATGTCGCGACAAAGACCCATGTCCCTTCCATCAATGTCAAGGTCACACTTATAGTTTGAAGGTACGCATTCTCTTTAGAAGAGTTTGAAGATACACATCCATGTCCGGACTGTAACTGTCATGCATGGAAGGATTTTAAAATATCTTGGCACAAATGTCTACCACATCAAGATAATGTGTCGCTGCTAAGGCTCATGTCCGTCTGTACCAACTTACACAACAATAATGTCCATACTGTAACTTTGTCATGCATTGAGCGATTTTGAAATGATTTGACACAAATGTCACATCTACATTTTGTCGCGTCCAGGAACCACTCCCTTCTTCAAAGGTCAAGGTCACACTTATATTTTGAAGGTTCGTGATATCACAATTAGAGATTACAGGAACAATAATACAAAGAACAATATTAAGCAATTAGTTACGTTCATTCTCTTTTCTTTTCATAATACCTGCATGCTTAAGAAACCTTTTCAGGGGCATTCATCACTTGGGTGACAGCTTTTGTTGATATTTTTAAAAAATCGATCGAATTGTATTTATATCAATACGAGTACTTAAGGTGTATTAACGAGTTTTATCATTGTATGCAGACAAATTATATATAAAAAACGGATTCCTTAAAAGAACGCAAATGACAAAATCACGGTACATATCCGTATCGGTACCCTCTTTGCGAAATCTGCTGAAACGGTACCCTCTTTGCACATGCACATGCCACTCTCTGCTAAAAACAAACCAGCGATGGATAACAATACAGTAAAGTTTCAATGAAAATATGACATACTTAACGATTAACGCAAATAAAAGCATTTGTCGTGCATTGAGTATACCTATGCGTTAAAAAATGAGAGGGTACCTGTGATATAAAAATTCAAATGAAGACAGGTAGCCTGTGTCGCTGCAAAACTGAAAGTAGGGTATTTTAATGTATTTTACCATTATATTTGACAATGTACTGCCATTCGTCCGAAGATGATATGTAAATGAACGTATAAATTATGTATGATGCATATATAATCAAGCCACAGGTTCATTTCAGTCCGAAAAGTATGTCGAGGTGATGGGCGAAGCAAGACATGTCGATTTTTTGTAGCTTATTGTGAAGTTGCAGTACATGAAAAACGGGCACATGACAAATCAGCACATAGATAAAACTTTCCAGTGTTCCGTGGTATACATCTTGTCCACAATTTCCTTATTACAATTAATTTTTACTGGCTTGTTATCCATTGCTGGTTTGTTTTGGGCAGAGAATGGCCTGTGCATGTACAAAGAGGGTACCGTTTCAGCAGATTTCTCAAAGAGGGTACCGATATGGATATGCACCGTGAAAATTAGAAAATGTTGCAGGCTCGGTTTGATTGCGTCTGTTTATGGACGGTATTGGAAAGTGCAACTTACCGATAACACCCTTAGCACTGGCTTAAGCAGAATTCAACATTTAAACATTTGTTTTATGAAAGTTTTTTAAATTATCTTTTGAATAGATAAATAAAGAATCCCTAAAGAATGCCCAACACGGCAAAATTGAAAATGTTGCAGGCTCGGTTTGATTGAGCCTGTTCATGGACGGTACTGGAAAGTGCAAGTTACCGTCCACGCCCCCTAGTACCGGCTTAAGCAGAATTCAACATTTAAACATGAAATGGTAAAATTTTGAATTTAGAAACATCCGCAGATGTGTTCATACGACGGTTATCAAAGAACCTTCAATGTGACACTTCCGTGCCATTCCATGAAAAAGGGCGTATGTTCCCCAAGTAATAAAAAGCGTGTGCCCTAAACGAGAAAACAATGGGCGGAACTAAATAAAATAGAATTTTGAAAGGGGATCAGAGGTTATGAAGCCTGCTTATCACAGATAAGACGTCAAAAGACAAATTTAAAAAGCAGGCAACATATCCTAAGGGTGATTCAACATTATTCAAGTAGTAATATTGGAACCACCCAACTAGAAAATGCCAAAGAGTTGAAACTAAAAATACCACAAGCACAGCAATAATGTCGTGATGAACGATCTTCAAGGATCGAAAATATAACATCATTGATTAAAAATCATCAATCATCATTCAAAAATCATCATTCAAAAATCATAAATCATCATTGATTGAAAGCAAATACTGTCAAGTAAACAAAGAAAGTGTTTTACACGTTGCAAACCGCTCTCATCATCTCACGATCTACGAAAATTACCAAAAATAGGACGGTATATGAAAAAAATAGCCCTTACCTCGTAAGTAAGTCGGTACAAACAAAATATGGTGATAAGTACTGTAGAATCAGTCATAAAAAAGCATATAACTTGAATTTTGTAATATTTTTCCTTTTTAAATATTTACATTTTTCTTAAGTTAGCTTTTCTTCATTAATTTGATTTATCTGGATACTAGAAATTTTAAGATGAAACCTTTTAATACATTAGAAAGTATTTTTCTTTTGCTATTTTGAACATTAATACAACACCAATTTTTAATTTTGGGTCATTTTTCACAGTAAGAATAATGCAGGAAGCAAATGATCTGAAATGTTACACACAAGCTATTGGTTTTGGCCTCCATCAACTATTAATTATTAATCTTGCAAAAAAAAAATAATTACTCTCGTGGTATCAAAAAACCTCAATAAGCTCAACATAACACTTTATAAGTGTTGCATTTTATATACTAACTAGTTATAAGGGGACTGGTGGCCTAGTGGTTAAAGTGTCTGCGTCTCATTCCCGGGATCATGTGTTCAAGCTCTAAAATCGGGTCACGAACATGTTTTTTCTAGTGACACAAGCTGATGATTCAGAATCAGAGTAATTAAAGATGTTCAAACTTGAAAATGATGAATATAGGTTACAAGAATTTGTTTCCCAATCGAGATTAAATGTATATGTTTAAACCAACAACAAGCTTATGATTAAAATTCTGTACTCAATTGTTTTGTACAAACAACAACTGCTTAACGTTTATTACATCATATACACCAACATTAATCATGCACTGTTTATCCCAAGCATGATTTATAAATCTCTTAAACGTTTGAAACATCGTCAATCAAAATAAAATTAATACCAGTAAATTTCAGTAAATTTGACATTAACATTTCCCTTATATTATATATATCATACACGTATATAATGATAGAAAAATGCCTTTTCCGCGGGAAATTATATATAGTATGCATGTAAATATATATATAATGATAGAAATTGCCTTTTCCGTTCCTGAATGTCGTGTTATTATTACCCATCCCGTAATGAACGTAATTTTTTTAACATTGCAGAGAAAAAATCTTGATATATTAGAATCATTATGTAGTTAACTTTAAACTATGATATTACTTTAAATGACATAACCTTTATTTCTCAGAAATTATGTTGAAAAAAAAATCACTCTCGGCACATTGCTTGATATACATGTAATAGTAAGCAGTATATATCCATGAGAGATGGCAAACTATTACGGTAAGAGATAATTATGTTTTATTTTTTAATGATTTTGTTTTAAAGTGTTGAACTGCAGAAACTTCAAATTCTATGCAAAAAATTTTAAAATTAATAAAAATGTTATAATGCAAAAATCACAAATTATATGGCAAAATAAAATCAATACGTTCAAACAAAGCAAAATGATTTCTATAACGCTCTGATTATATTTTGAATTAAAGTAATAAAAGATATTTAGAAATTAAAGTAGATAATAATAGATATTTAAAACTTGAAAATGAAAGTTTACTCTTGTAATAAGAACGTAATGTATTCGTATGTATAAAATTCGAATTTGTTCATTTTTTATTTTCTATAGTGAAGACTGCTTTTCTGGTAATTATATTTACAAAGTCAATTGCTAGCACCTCAATATCAGCCGGTTGTTCCTATGAGCACATAAGCACGAAATTTTCGGACTGTATATGGAATGTAACAGCTCTTAACAGTTTCAATGAGGCCATCGAAGGATTCTTTCACAGTGACACACTGGTGACCGAGGACGATTTGCTATCAACATTAACATCAAAATGTGGGTGAGAGCTTCAATTGTTAACTTTTAATTCAAAAATGTTTAAATAACACATTAAACTGCAGTTTAGAGTAGTTTAAGAAAATGCTTATAACTAAAAGTATTAAAAAAATGTATGTCAAAGTGAAGCGCTTGAATGTATGACTTGTATGAGTGCGATAAGTTACCGGATAACGTAATAAATTATGAAAAATTTTATGCATAGCATATAGGAAGTTAGTTTTGAGAAACATCCTGGATTAAATAACCAGAGACATAAATAACTTTGTTATCTATGTCTCTGAAATAACGATGTTTGCATACATATGTTTTATTACAATTTTTACTTGTTTATTTTGAGACTTTGCTATTTTTAGTGATGAAAGTTACATGAAGAAGTATTCATTTTGTGCACAAAGATGTGTAGAAAATTGTCCACAATTGACGTATGTGGTAACACAGTACATCAAACAAGATGTGGCGGTGTTCTGTGAGAATGGAGAGCCATCAGAATGGCTTGCTACAGGTAAAATTTCAAGATGGTTTATTTATTGCAGCAAATCAAGACCCCCTTCCATCATACGTGCACTACCCCATCCACCAAAAAAAAAAATGGTTCTATTAAAATCAAGTCTAAATCAAACGAAAAACGTGTGTTGAATGGGTAACACACGTTGGAACAAGATGACTGCAGCATTAAACTTTATTGAATCCTTAAACGGTTTTCTTCTTAAAACAATCATAGAAATGTTACATTAAGATATTTGTTATATATAACGTAAAGAATTCCAAAATATTGACAAACTCCTTAATGTTTGCACAGACACTTGGGTGTGGAGCTCAAAATGCCTTTAATCCAAATAAAATGTATATTTGTCAATCACAGCACATGTATATACGGTATGCGCCATGTGTAGGCTGCAAAACATGTGCTCTGTGAACTTTTAATTTTTTCAATAAGAAATGCTTAAAAGATTCCCCTGAAATTTGTCATACGTGTTAATGAATGTGTATATTGATTGTATACATATACTTTTTGTAACGAATAAATTTGCAATTTTGTGGAAATTTGGAATGTATGAACATAATTACTGATATTTCAATTAAAATTCAGATATGTAGATCTTGCCTAAGGCGGATTTAGCTAATCAGTGTTTACCAGGGATTATCCAATATAATAGGAGTAGCCTACATAATATAAGGCAATTATCACCATCCAAACTTGATCCTTGTGTACTAGAAACATTGAAACAGCTAGACGTACTAAAGCAATATAGGGGTACTAGAGGGGGTCGTGTCATTGAAAGACGAATATGGGACACAAATGATGGAGTTCACCTTCATAATATTAGAACTTTACCTCAAAATGTATCAACAAGAATAACAAATTTTGAACATAGACATAATTCCAATATAAACAGTTTTAATCCTGAGAATTTGAGAAAGATCACATTTGAACCACTGTCTGTTTGTAAAAGGCAAACAATTCAAGACCAGTGAAAAATAAGAGTTTGGCCTTTTCTGATTACATCATATCCAATGATTTTGACATCATCGCTGTGCCAGAAACGTGGCTTGGTGGTCCTGGTGACACAGCGTGTATTGCCGAATAAGTACCTAGTGGCTACAAATTTGCCCATGTTCCTCGCATAGGTCGTGGCGGTGAAGTAGCGGTTATCTACAAGGCACCCCTTAAACTTACTAGCTATGCTTGCACCCAGTCGCAATACTAATGTTACCTCGTTTGAATATATGGACTGCAACATCACTGTAAAAAGCTTTTTTCTACGACTAGCTGTGGTATATAGGCCGCCTCCAAACAAACACAACGGCTTTAAGACTAGTACATTTCTTGGTGATAAATGGACGACATTTCTTGCAAACTTTACAACTGCTGAGAACGATATCATTGTGATGGGTGATGTTAATTTTCACCTGGACAATCTTTCAAACCATTACACCACAAAATTCAAAAGTGTCTTGGTAGCAGGCCACATAATAGATGTGCTCATTACCAGAGATACAGACTCAACGGTATCAAATGTAGAAATGATCCTGGACTCCCAGTCAATAATGGAAACACGTTTTTCGTGATCACTTTGCTGTTGTATTTTATGCTAGTGTATCAAAAATTTGATTCAAAATCACTAGTTCACCACCAGTACGAAAAACTGTGACTTACAGAAAATTGAAATCAATAGATGTTAATGAGTTTAAAACAGATATTTTGACATCAGATATTTTAAGTAGTGTTAAAGAAAGCTCCAATGTTGATGAACTAGTTGATGCTTACAACAACGGACTTTCTCTCATTCTTGTCAAACACACACCCCTTAAGTCCAAAAGCATTGTTCTGAGACCAATGAATCCGTGGTATTCCCAAGGACTACATGATGCTAAATATCTAAGGCGTCAGTTAGAGCGAAAGTGGCGCTTGACTGAAAATTGAGCACTTAATTTATAGAAACCAATGCGCTGTTGCGAATAAGCTTCTTAATATGTCAAAAGTCAAATACTACACTGAGAAAGTAGAGTCATGTGGTCGGGATATGAAAAACCTTACCAAAGAGACCGGCTTTTAATGGGTGCACACACAGATGTTGTGCTGCCGTCTGGAAAACCTGCAAACGTTCTAGCACAAGGCTTTAGTGACTTCATTGCGCATAAGGTGAAAGGCATACGTAACGGTATAGCCAGGGCCAAGTATCACCAACAAACAGACAATGTTATCCCTGAAGCACCTTTCAATGAGGAGCAATTTTCAAACTTTTCAGTAGTCTCTGATATGGTAATTTCAAAAATTATTCGCCATTCGCCAAACAAATCCTGTAAACTTGACCCCATTCCAACATGGCTGATGAAAGATTGTTTAAATGAACTACTACCATTGATCACAAAAATCTTGAACACTACACTTGAAAGGGCCTATGCACCACCCACTTTTATAAGTTCTAGAGTCAGACCTTTAATCAAAAAGTCAGGGTTGGATCAAGAGGTTATGAAAAACTACCGGCCTGTATTTAATTAACCGTTTGTCTCCAAAGTTCTCGAGAAAGTTGTCGATTCCCAACATGAAAGACACCTATCTGCACATAAACTTCATGAAGAGCGTCAGTCTGCTTATAGGCAGTTTCATTCAACAGGATCTGCTCTATTATGTGTACTAAATGACATTCTCCGCTCTCTTGTCCAGAATGAAGCTACTGTTCTAGTAATATTGGACTTATCTGCTGCTTTTGATACGATCGACCATAGTACACTCTTTTGCCGGCTCGAACAACACTTCGGAAAAGTAGGCAAACCTTTACAATGGAAGAAGTCATATCTGTGTGAGAGTCATCAAACTGTCTGCGTCAATGGTGAACTGTCAAAACCTGTACGTCCGTTTTTGGTCCGAAGAATTACATCAAGTACACCAAACCTCGGGGCGCGATCTGTCGGAAGCATAAACTCCAACATCATTTCTACGCTGACGATTTGCAATTGTACATGGCATTTAAACAAAAGGAATCCATTTCACGCAATGAGACCTTGCGACAGATTTAAGCATGCCTGAATGACATCATACTATGGATGAATAATAACATTCTGAAACTCAATGCGGACAAAACAGAAAGTCGGTGATTCTGTAATAAAAACCACCAACAACAGTTAGAAACCTTGGCGCCGTATTGGACTCTCACTTAGACATGGAACAACATGTGAACTCAGTTTCGCGATCATGCTTCATGAAAATACGACAAATAGGTCAAATTCGGAAATACTTGACTGTTGATTCAATCAGAACCTTGATAAACTCGTTAGTGACATAAAAATTGGATTACTGTAATTCGTTGCTTTATGGATCTCCAAAGTACGTTCTCAACAGCGCCAAAATGTTCAAAATACGACTGCTCGACACCGCGAAACTGCCATATAACCCCAGTTTTAAAAGAACTACACTGGCTTCCTGTGCTACAAACTCCTTACATATGTGTTTAAGGCGATTCATGAACAGACACCTACGTACAAACATGCTAGACATTTATAACCCATCCAGACAACTTAGGTCCCAGAATAATTGCTTAGCACTTGTTGTACTGCGTAGTAGGACTGTGACTTATGGTGATCGTGCATTTATGACGACAGCCCTTAAACTCTGGAATGCCCTACCTAGAACACTTAAAAGCTGTGAAACTCTAACAGTGTTCCAGAGAACACTTAAAACTCACTTATTTAAGATGTTTTATTTGGACTGATTATTTTTTCTGTTCTTACCTGAATATTATTATTTTTTATGTGGGTCTTTTTAACTTTTTTTAAACTACATTTTATTTGAATTTGTGACTTCAGCGATATTGATGTTGTTTTTTTTTCTCCTTTAAATATTGTATCATTTATTTGGTTATATTGTACAGTACTTTTGAACGTGTCAATGTGCATGAAAAAAGTGCTTAAGAAGTTTAGTATATATAATAATAATAATAATAATAATATAAATAATAATAATAATAATAATAATAATAATTTTATGCATTTTATTTGGATTTTAAAGGCGTTTTGATCTTTACACCCCAAGTGTCTGTGAATGTTTGCAGGTTACTAGTAATAAAGGTGAACAAATTGTCAGATTGTCTTAATGATAACAATGAATCGATTTACTGGACAATATTTCTAACATTTTATTATAAATCAATTATCAGTGTTACAGAGTACATATCGTTACAACAAGCAGTGTATTGACTATGGGGCGGGTGATAATCGTGTACTAGAAATAGTGCAACAATGTGTAGACGAGGCGGATTTTTTGAACCATTTTTCGGATCTCATAGTTAGCTATGCGGTGTCTACACTACAAAGGTTTTGTATATTCATTTATTGGAAGCATTTATTCATATTTATGATATTCAATTCCTATGGTGGCTGATTTGGAACGCTTGTGTGCGTTGGTCTTGGCGCCAACGAAAACGGGACAAAGCTCCAAACGGCGCGTTTTCGGACGTTCGTCTTGTCGCTAACGATGTACGCCAAACGGCGCCATGTCGTGTGGCGTGTTGTCGCGATGTCACATTGCCACTCGGTTCAAATCGAAGGATTGGCTAATAAGCCAAGCGACAGGGCAATATCGCCACAATGCGCCGCACGATTACGCGCCATTTGGCGTGCTTCGGTATAGACAGGACGACAGCGCGACAACGTGCCGTTTGGCTCTTTGTCGTGTTGTTGCTAGCGACAAGACTAAAAGGCGATAACGATAAAGGTTTCGTTGTTGCTGTCGACAAGTCCCAAATCAACCACCATCAATTCCTAATAAGTTAGTCTTATACAATTACTGACGCCATTTTCAGTACTAGTATTCGTTTTTCTATTGACTTTTGATCGCAAGAACGTATCTTAGTACAGTACTGTTAGACCTATTTATTATAAAGTCACTTAGTTTCAGTTTCTTATGAAGAACAGGATTTTTTTTTCATGAATCCACTGGAATATTGCTAAACCGATATTTTATGCCAGACTAATTTCCGACCAGAAAGGTTTTGTTTAGCCTTCGAAACAATCATTCACCACTGCAATGTCAGGTGAATACAGGAGTGTGAAGGAGCACAACAGTGTCCTGAAAGTCATTAACAATAGACGCATTTTTTTTTAAAGAAAGCAATCAAAAAATGGCTAAACTATGAATCTATTGTGTTTGAAATACTTTGTAAGACCTCCAGATACCTGAAAGGCACACATAGCAACGAAGAATTATTTATCATATACTGTTTTATCTTCTTAATACTCAGGATCCGCTTTGCGAACATGTTCTTTTACCAACTTTGCTACCTATATTTTGTTCTTAATCTTTCATTAGATCAAAAAGTTAACCTAATGTATCTTCACCAATGACGCACACTTGCGAAAAACATTATAGTGTATTTAAGACACTGTTAAAGCATTTCCACGCATTATTTGCAGTATTGCAGTATTTTAATGTGTGTTTTATCAATGTAAATGTCTACTCAGATATTTATTTTCAATCGTGATTTTATTGAGCAATAAGTGATGTTGACCCGTTGTAGAAATATTCATATTTGTATACTCCTCGTAAATACCTATTTTACACAATAGAAATCGTCTTTATTCACTACACATTTTTTTTATTATTATTTTATTTATTATTATTACTATTATTTTCACAGCGATATTTCTAACTGGTTTAGATGTATGCTAGATAATGCACCGTCATTTCCGGACTATGATGGCGACGGAATTTTAGATTGTGGCTCAACATGGCAAGACGTGGTTGTAATGCTGGCTCTCAGAATATCAGCCTTTAATCAACTTGGGATGACAATTAATCAAGAAATAATTGCCGAACTGAAGGTATATTTATTTTTGATCAATTTCAAAAACTAAATTCAAAGGTATTGTATCCTCCATATATATGGTGTAGGCTTGTAGTGAATGTGAACACCTTTTGTACATGTATGTAAATATACATGTATATTGAAACAATGACGATAGATGAATTTCAATCTTTGAATCCGATTTAATCAAGAATCTTGTGTTGTCATTTAGTTATGTGGATATTTTCATGATATATTTTGACATGAGATATTTAAACTAAAATAAATAAAGATAGAAAACAAAATACTATGCTGCACACAAATTCACTCAATGAGAAGTGTATTAAAACAATATGATACATGTTTGTTATCTTTATAAAAAATGTATTTCAGAACATTATTGTGTAAATGCATTTGTCTCTTTATCGTTTCAGGATATCAAAAATGGTTCATGAAAACAGACAACGACGCCAACCAAATAGATTTTGATATGCTGCTCATATTGTACATTGTACATAAAATAATTAAATACAAATTTAATGGTTAAAATTCTTTGTACAAAGTTATAAACCTGCCCACTTGTTCATACATTATTTGGGGTTGGTCGTGATATATCAGCTCAATCTCCTACGCAGTGATCTCCCCTTACAGCAGGATTAGATCTCTGCCATCACAACATTTTCGTCAAGATTTTTTACGATATGAATTTTTTCAATTTTTACATTTATTTAAAAAAGTAAACACGGTTTTGCTAATGTTTTAAGAAAATATAACAGACGTAGGTACAAAAAGTAAAAAAAAAAGAACAGAAAGAGAAAAATGACGTTTGATTTTCTATGTAACGGTCGATATTTACATTTGAATTTCGACGTTACGTCATGTGACTTTCATCATCATGTGACGTCTGTGAAGGCAGTGATTAGAATTCTGCCAAGGGAAGTAATCAGTGTGAGGAGTTTGATATCAGCTATGAACATCGTCATCACCACACGAAGGAAATTTGTTGCTCATTGGCTTGTATGGGATGTATAAGTGTTTTTTACTACAGATTTTAAGAAAGGCAGATTGTCTGAGTAGTGCAAACTGTATATTATTCGAGCCAATCTAGTTCCAATTATTTTGTTCCATTATAATTTTAAATATTTTATATGTGGGCTCAAACAATATATATTTTACTAGTCTGCCTTGTTGTCATTCCAGGGAATATGGTTTACATGGACAGTAATATTTAATTATCTTGACATTCCTATGTTTCGTGCCAAAATCTTAGCTCTAACCTTTATAATTTATATGATTTTTAATAAGGTAAACCCAAGATAGCCGGGGCTGGCATAATTTTGACCCCCACCGCCGGGCTATAATTTGAAATTTCTTCCAACAATGTTCCATGCCAAATACATGTATCTAAGCTGTCGGCTTTATGTCCTAAGATATGATTTTTTTAATTAACTATATAGATCTCAGGAAAACCCACGAGCCCCTTGGGTGGGCAAATTTTGACTCATGGACTATTATGTAGAGGATTTCTACACAATATCTCGTGCCAATTGTCTAAACTCTTGCCTTTATAGTTTTAGCGGAGTTGATTTTGAAAGATTACACTTTAATCGTATTAGAAAACCCCTAAGAACAACCATTGAGTTAAATCTTTTGTTTGTAATTAGTAAACGTATGCCTGAAGAAGTTACTTGCACGTCTAGACTTCAGTGGTACGATTTGGATGATCACGTGACTAAAATCGTACAATGAGCTCATAAAATGGCGGCCTGGACGCTCGGTAAACGTAGTAAAATTTAGTTAAGGATACAATTAACGTTAAATTGAAATGTAAAACTAGGTCGCACGGAACCCCTGTAAAAACCCATGTACTGTTCTGTTATTGGTTACTTTGTAGCTCTCTCTGTTTAGGCCTGAAAGTTGAATAAGTTGTCTTTGGTTGATGAGAACAATGGGGGAACACGTACTATAATGCGTTGTTTTTCAGTAAAAAGAAACGCATTTTGAGCAAAATAGGCAATGATATCTTGTATACAATTGTAAGTTTGCCTGTCATGAACAATTTCCATCCTTTGTAAAGTTGCATAACGAAGTTGTATGTTTTTTTTTAAAAAAAAACATGTGTCAAGTGATCATCCGCATTGTGCATAATCACTACTGTACTCATCATTGTTAAAAACAATCTACGAATGCTTACAAAGTAATGGGGACTAAAAACAAAATTGCTACATGTGATTTTGGAGATGTTTATTAAAATAGTGGCTGAATTATGACGAAAATTAAATCATAAAAGCTCACTATTGAGCTTTTTGTGTGTGGCTAATCTAAATAATACCTTGTCATCCCCCGAGTAGGGCCATTACTTGGACAACAATTTATTAAAATAGAACATACAAAATGGCAATTTGAAAATGTTGTAGACTCGGTTTGATTGAGTCTGGAAAGTGCAAGTTACCATCCACGCTTTCTAGCACCAGCTTCAGCAAAATTTCACATTTAAACCTAAAATAGGGAAATTTGGAATCTTGAAAAATTGTAAATGATTTTGCAAATGGTTACCATTGCACATAAATTTGGAAAAATGTTTTACAAAGAGCTATATGACAGACACTTTCTTGGTGTCAGAAACGTTGAATTATACAGTACACAACAGACACAGGGGAAAGGTGAGACTGAAAAACAAGAGCTTTCAATAGGACAGCATCCTAGACTACATTATGTTCTCTGTGCTTGATAGTAAAAAATAACAAGAGGGCCATGATGGCCCTGAAGTCGCTCACCTGTATATACCCCCCCCCCAGCAGGGCCAGTTTAACCCCAGGGCTTTTATTTGAACAAACTTGGTAAACACACTAGAAGGTCAAGGTTTAGCTTGTTGGGTTTTTTAAAAGAAGATTTTTTTAAGTTTTTTCTTTACACATATAGTTAAAAACAATGACTCCCCTGGAGCAGGGCCAGTTTTGAACCCAGGGCTTTTATTTGAACAATCTTTGTAGACACTTACTAGAAAATGTTTCATGCTTAATAATTATATAAACTCTAGCTATTCGGGTTTTTTTCAAAGAAGAATTTTTAAGTTTTTGCTATACACATATAAGGAAAATCAATGACCCCCCGGGGCGGGGTCAATTTTGAACCCAGGGCTCTTATTTGAACAAACTTGTTAGACATCCATTAGAACATGTTTCATGCTAAATATCTTAGCTCTAGCTCTTTGGGTTCTTTAAAAACAGATTCTTAAGTTTTTAATATATGCACATAGGGAAAATCAATGACCCCCTTGGGCGGGGCCAATTTTGACCCCAGGGCTTTTATTTGAAAAAAAAACTTTGTAGACACTAATAAGAAGATGTTTGATGCTAGATATGTAAGCTCTAGCTTTTTGGGTTCTTTAAAAGAACTAGAAGATTTTTTAAGTTTTTACTATATGCATTTGAACATGTTTCATGCAAAATATCTTAGCTCTAGCTCTTTGGGTTCTTTAAAAGAAGATTCTTAAGTTTTTAATATATGCACATAGGGAAAATCAATGATCCCCTGGGGCGGGCCAATTTTGACCCCAGAGCTTTTATTTGAACAAATTTGGTAGACACTCACTAGAAGATTTTTCATGCCAAATATCTAAGCTCTAGCTGTTTGGGTATTTTATAAGAAGATATTTAAAGTTTTTTTCTTTTGGTTGCCATGGCAACCAGAGTGCTGCATGAAATTAAATTCTTTGAACAATTTTTAAAGGTTACCACCAAAGAAACATTCCTGTGAAGTTTGGATGAAATTGGCTGAGTGATTTATGAGGATATGTCATTTAAAGTAAAAGTTTATGGACGGTGGACGGACGCCAGACAGACGCCGGACAGACGGACAAAAAGCGATCACAAAAGCTCACCATATGTGAAAGGTGAGCTCAAAAGCCGAGATAATATTCTCCCAAAAGTTGATCTCAATAAACCTAATGAAACATGTGTAATTTTTATTGTTTTATCATTCAAAATTGTTTAACATGATCTGTAAAAATTATAAAATCGAAGACATTCAGTTTTCATACATTTACAATATTTATACATGAACAGCACATTCATGCCTATGATAAGTGAAAATATTAAAGATATAATTATGAATTAATGATACATGACATATTTACAAATGGCAATAAAGTTATAATTACCAACCAACTTACTAATTAAGCTTTAAAATTATTTTGAAGGTATTTTTTTTTTCAGCATTTGACACTTCAAGCATAAGTACAGCATTGTTACAAATTCTTGCAGGTACATAAACTCTAATAGCAGCTGACCTCCAGGTACATTTTTGTAATTTCAAAAAGTTCTCTAAATACAAGTAGTATAGTGCACAAATGAGCTGTTTATAAGCTACAAATGTAGCATTACACACCACTTACCTGCTGTACACCTACCACATTTCTATAGAAAATCACCTATCATCAGGTTTATATTTTACCTTCTTTGAAGTTGTTCAATAAAAATTACTCTGAACTGCATATTGTCCTATACATTCAACATGCTTAGAGATACTTATCATGTGTTAGTGCAGAACTATTATTTCAAAGAAAACTGAAGGGGTCTTTTTTTTAAAAAATTAAAGAAGAATAACATAATATTTTTGCAAATGAGGAAGAAAATATCTAATGTAAATTTAATCTTATGGGTAAACTGCACAATTTCAAAGAAATGTCCTGGCTGGAAGCCACCCTTAAATAGCTAGTGATATAGATAGGAGCAAAGCCCTTCTCTGTCTTATTACAGTAAAATGCATGGTTGTACATGTATATCAAAACTTAGTAGTTTTATAGAATCACAATGGTATGAGTGATTTATTACACAATAAATTGTGCATCATTACTATTTCAGAATTTCTTCATTGATTTTCAGAACAAACTTAAAAAGAATGCAATAGAAATGTGAATCCTTTAACAAGCACACTTTCATACTTTAAATTGTTGTCATTTAAGTTATTGCAATCTGCTGTTAACTCAAGTCCTCAATCATTTTACTCTAGTTCAGAGTTTATGTTCAAACAAGGCTCTTAAAAATAACTTTATTAAAAATATACCAATACTTTCTGTTAAGTATGCAATTACTTCAAAAGTCATTTCTCATATATTCATCACAAGTTAACACAACAAACATCACTTTTTCATATTTCAGTCAGATGTTTGATGGTTGAACATTCACCACTTATTGTACCAATAGTTTGTCTGCCCCTGCAGGTGAATAAACGTATCACAACTAACAACGTCCTGATATATAAATTCTCCTCAAATATCACCTTCTTGTCTCTCTCTTACTGCTTCCTGAAAAAAAAACACAACATTTACACTGTCATAAAATAGAAGATGCTGAATGAGTATAGGTTCAATCCTGAATTTAATTAACACGCTGTTTAATTGTATTTATTTAAGCTTGATTGTGAAACAAGACTTGCAACTTGTATTAATCACTTTAAAGTCTGCTTCCTGGAACCAACCAGTACTGGTATATTGTGACCCAATTAGGGCTAGAACTACTGATCCTGGATTGAAACCACTAGGTCACCACTCCTTTCAAATGAACAGGTTGAATAAAATAATTATATGAGCTTGTGGGAAGCATAAAATTACTTTAGACTCGAATGATATTACGAGTATTATCTTAGTAAAATCAAAGTCAACTAGTTTTAATAATAAAGTAAGGCATGAACATTCACTAACAAAATTCAGTGAAACAAAATCAATTTTTCATTGACACACCTTAAATATAAACCCTGCGTTAACAATTGAATCCGTTTTACGCATGTTTGCATAATGGAAATCACACTGTGTTGCATTATTATTACAACATCAGCATTCTAAATAGGCATTCTTACCTCAAGGTCTGACCTTTAAAATTAAGTGATGTATTACTTTATTGTAGATTTTATAATATCAATATTTTACAAGTACTTCATTTGGCTGTCTAAACATGGTTAACATGCTCTTAAACCATTACCTTAACATTATAAAACTGATATTTTCCCTTTTTACAGAAGGAAACATTTATTCGTTCCTGAGGCATAATGTGCCTTTTAATGATTTCAATGTGCCAAAATCTCTAATATTATTATGAATGCATTACCCCAAAATTTTCCTCATTAGAGCCACTTGAGATAAGTCTGTGACTGGATTTGTGAGACTGTGGCTGAAATCTGCATTTGGTCTGTATCCTTTTAACACTCCCCTTGTTTTCTAAGGGTGGGAGTTCTTGTGCCAGTAGTAATATGAGGGTCTTTACGAGTCCCCTATAATAAAATATCTTTCAATAATTAAAATTTAAAATGCAACGTTTAAAAATTTGTAAATGTTCTTTGGTTGACTTTATACAGTATAACATAACAAAGATTTTGAACAAAATTAATAATTCTCACTAACAGGATAGAAAAAATCCGAAAATGTTACTAAAAATGGGGTTTTAAAAATTTATCTCACATGGGCTTACTCACACTCAGAGCAACACTTCTGACGTTTTCCTCACTACGGCGATTCACTACTATTTTAAAACAAATAAAACGTCAAAGTTCAAAATGTATTAAAAATATGTGAGCTAATCTACTAAAATGTCCATGGAATCAAAATAGATTGATATTAACTTTCACACTGCAACGAATCCTACTCAACCTAGGGCCGCCCTTTCCAATATCGATTTGTTACTAAAAATAGCACACTTTAAAATATCGCAAAATTCTTCGTAAAATCGGATATGATGCTCTTCATGTAGAACATCCATGTTTTCTGTTATGATAAATATGCTTCTTGATGACGAATCTCATTTTGATATATTTTAATTGAATATTCGGCCAAAATAACCGTAAAAGTAGAAAAATCTTTGCAAACGGTAAACGCTTTTTGGCAACCATTTAAGTATGGACTGAATAGCTTATAAACACTTATATTATGACACTTTCCGACTTTAATATTGATGTGTTTTATCAAGATAACCTTGCTTTTTTATAAGGGATCTCATATATGAATTTATTTTCATTGAATTTTTTCACACATAAACATGGTCAGTAGAATATTTTGCGGACGGACGTCAGGCGCCTAAGCCCCGCCCCGCTTTTCAAAACTAGGGCGTAGCAAGTAGATCTAGATTCTGTGTCCAGGTGAGTGAGAAAAATAATCAATCATTAGGTTAGATAGAGAATAGAGAAATCCCAACCCTCGGGCAATCGGTTCCATCGGAAACTCGCCAAGGCTCGTTCCCGATAGAACCGATCACCCTCGGGTTGGGATTTCCCTATCCTCTATCTAACCCAATGATAGATTCTATTATTATTTAGGTGTTACAAAAATTTATTTGTTACATCAAAACAGGTATATGTATATCTGCTGGAGATAAAGATTAACTTAACAAATGGCAAACTTGGCAAGTAAATCAATAATGCCTTGTTATTAAATTTGTTCAGTTTAATGAATTTTACACTTAAAATTGTAATTTGTTATTACTTTGTACATGCTTTGTTGTGTTGGACTAACTTACGTGCAAATCATGTTCCCTAATGTATGGTCTTCTTTATTTATGGTGAATATTGCTGCATTTGGTACTTTAGTGTCCTTCTCAATCTGGATCCTGTAATTCATTTAAATCAATTTATTCAGTGCTTTACAAGACGAAAATATTTCATATAAAGTTTTAATGTCAGAATAATTGCCCATACTTCCTCATTGGACAGTTAAATAAAATTATTCTATTTAAAAAACTCTTATCAACCACTGAATAGAATAGTTAAATTTCCAATCATCCAATGAATCTGAGGATTAAATGAATGAAAAGAATCTCTGTCTAGAATGGCATCTTCAAACATTTAAGCACCACAAAAATTTTAGAGTTTGTTATTCAATATTTTCATTTTGTTACTTACAATTGGGATCTTTTTCTGTGGATTGGGAAAATAATATACGATTTTCAATTGGGAATATGACTGAATATTGGCTATAAAATACTAGATGCAACACTGCTTATCAGTTGTGTAGAGCTATTTTTAGCGCTGTCAAATGAGGGACAGTAGTGAATAACCTCCCCCGAGTACTCCCTATAAATAGATAGGTCCTAAGCTATTGGATTACTCGGACTTAATCACCTATTTCTTTGTAGCAAACTGAATTAATTAGGACTAATTATGATCATTTGTAATATTCAGATTAGATATTGCGATAGGATGTAGAATCTGTTGACATAAATTAAACATTTTTTCCTTAAGGTTTACATATTTGTTGATGCGTGTGTAAATAATTGATTAAGACATATCAACCTGTCTTATACAAGAGCCATGTCTACATGGCCATCCCCCGCCGAATGTGTTTGCTCATTGGAAGAATGTATATGTAGTAGAGCGGAAAAATTCCATTTTAAGAGGTCTTTTGGTAATGAAAACTGATGGCTATAGTGATTACAGATTTGAAACCTATGTGAATACTGATGGCTGAAAATAACAAAGGGCAATTACTGAAAATAATGCAGGGTAGGTCATCATTCTTGTGTGCTGCATCCCTCCTCAGTAAAATCTATCCACCTATGAAGTTTCAAGTTGATACCTCAAATACTTTTTGAGAAAAAATTGAATTGAAAATTAAGTATGAAAAAGAACAAGGGCAATAACTCAAAAATTATAAAAGGTAGAGTTTCATTCTTGTGCAGTGCACACCTCCTGAGTGAGATCTATGCACCTATAAAGTTTCATTTTGATATCTCAAAGGCTTTTTGAGTTATGCTCTGGACAAAAATTAATTTTGAAAAATAACAAAGGGCAATAACTCAAAAATAATGCAGGGTAGAGTTATCGTTCTTAAGCATTGCTCTCCTCCTCAATGAGATCCATCCACCTATGAAGTTTCAAGTTGATACCTCAAATACTTTTTGAGATAAGCTCTGGACAAAATAGCATGAAAAAAAACAAAGGGCAATACCTCAAAAATTGTTAGGGAAGAGTTATCATTCTTGCGCACAACATTCCTCCTCAATAAGATCTATCCACCTATGACATTTCATGTTGATATCTCAAACACTTTTTGAGTTATGCTTCACTCAGGTGAAAAATTAGGTATGAAAAATAACAAAGGGCAATAACTCAAAAATTATGAAAGATAGAGTTATCATTCTTGTGCACTGCACACCTCCTGAGTGAGATCTATGCACCTATGAAGTTTCATGTTAATATCTCATAGGCTTTTGGAGTTATGCTCTGGACAAAAATCAATTTTGAAAAATAACAAAGGGCAATAACTCAAAAATCATGCAAGGTAGAGTTATCATTCTTGTGCACTACACTCCTCCTCAATGAGGTCTATCCACCTATGAAGTTTCAAGTTGATAACTCAAATACTTTTAGAGGTATGCTCCGGACAAAAATGTTGGACGGAAGGACGGACTGACGGAAGGTCGGACGGACGGAGACTATTTCTATATCCTCCACCGAAAATTTTTCGACGGGGGATAATAAAACTCAACGATAAAAGCAAAGGATTCCAAATATTTGGACCTACTTATATTATGGTTAACCTCGGCTTTTATCAAGGGAAGATAATCCACTACTGTCCCCCATTGCAGTGTGATTTGAACATATGTAGGATTTGATAGGTAACTAGGGGTGGATTTAAGGTAATTATTATTGCATAGATGAAAATCCCATGTGGCAAATTGACTCTTGAGCAGATTTTATCAGGTATCAAATTTGTGCATTCCCCGATATTCATGAGTCAAAACCCAGATCCCCGTGTCAATCGAGAGCCCTGATTTAAATAATAAAAGCTTGAAAACAATCATTTAAGTTATTACTGTTGAAAACATATTAATCTTGTATAAAATTAATAAAAAAGGCTTTAAAACATCATCTTCTGATATGATAGTTAACAAACTACTTTCACATATCTGTATACCTTCATGTACAACTAGGATTTAGATAAACAGAAAAAATTATTAATTTAGACTTTAGTTTTAAAGCTTTCTGGAAGATAATTTTGCAGTAAGCATTTTGATTTTGCATTTCCTAGAAGTAAAATATAAAAGTCTATAGGAGTACATCTGTATTATGACTTTCATCTTCATTGTTAAAACATTTCCCATCATTGATCTCACATGCATTACGAGTGTATTTGAGGACGAAAGAAAATTTCAATCAATTTGCTTCAATTACACAACCAACAAGCGTTTGGTTTGACTCGTATGGTGCTCAAAATAAAACAATTGTTCTTGAATTTATTTTGATATTGATTACATACTTTTTCTCTCCTTCAAAGAGAAGAAATGACTCAAATGTTGGAGGAGCATTCATTTTCGAGTTCTATCGTTGTTGTTGTTGTTGTTGTTGTGACACTTCCGGTTTAAAGGATAAGTATAGTGCTCTGTCGAATCCTTTCAACAGCTCAACAGAATTTCGATTCCATCACTAGTTGAAAGGCTGCCGAAATAAAGCCTCTTTTGAAAATTAAATTCGTTTATAAGAAATGAGGAAAGTTATAAAGTATTAATTTTTATAACATACACATTGATGCATGTATTTAAAAATAGTTTTGAATAGTTTATATCAACTTTTCATCACTTCTAAGGGAACAAACCGATATACTTGTTCCTATATGGTACATACAGTGAATATGCTTCCAAATATTAATTAAGTTATATATATTAATGATTTCAATTGTATATAGATAAACAACACCTAAAAATATTCAAGTGATGAAGTGTAATGATACAACACGATTTGTCAACAAGTTATCTACTATATCTTGATAAAATATAGATAAACATTTTATAATACTAAACTTTGAAAATAGATACTAGAATCTACGTTGTACAATAATTATTTGCTTCAATGTTATAAAAAGGGAAAAATACCAAACAATGGAGATTAATTCCTTTTTCTTTGGATTTTTTGTCATTGTGTTGGTTAACTCGGAAAAGTAAGTGCACGATATTCTTAAAAATGTATAGATCTATCTTATTCTCGTCTCCGTTGAAAATCTTAATCATCTTTGATTATACATCTATAACTACGCGGAACGGTGACTTAATGGATGAAGTATCTGCTTCTGAACCCAGGGATCGTGAGCCCAAAACGAAACTATGGCCATGCTTCGTCATATGATATTACTGGTTTCTTCTATAAAGCAGTTATAAAGCTTATAAGCTTTCACAATACACCCGAGCTAAAATACAGGAAATAGACTCGTTTATAAATACATTGTTTAAATGTAAGCATACTGCATACATATTGAATACTGGTCTATGTGTGTTAAATCCTTGATGACATCAGAAACTTTACATTTACTGAGTTTGCAATTATAAAATCATCAAATCATATTTAAGGCCCATTTTTGCTTCAGAATTGCTTTAATATTTATTTCTCAAAAGCTTATTAACTTTGGTACACTTTCATAGTTTCCGAAAAGTTACTTAGTGGCCAATTACCTAACTCACATTTTTGGCAATAAGCACAATATCATATAGTGATTAAGTGTTTTGTATCAAAGTCAAAATACAAATGTATTACTTTGGTTACATTTTGCTATTTTTATGACAAAATATTTGAAATTGATCGCTACTTTCTTCGGGTAATAATTATAAAACATTCTCTAAAACCATGATTTAAATATGATAAAATTCATGGATTTATTTATTACATGTACATATGTACATATAAAATTTGATAATGTTTGATCTTTCAACAATGACAAAAATTGAATCGAACTTGATTGCGTCGTATCAACTATAAACGGAAATGAAAACTGCTTTTGTCAAAATTGAAAAAACACACACTGTTCTTTGTATCTCTTCCTTTGCTGTCGCACTGTTGCACGCTTGCTTTTTAAATTAGATTTATAATGTACACACCTGCAATAGTCTAAAGTAGAAGTGTTCTACCTTTCTGAATTAAGGTTTTTTTAGACAGCAGAATCCATTTGTTCTTGGTGAATATACTTGTTAATCAACTTAATTGATGTATTCATTTATATTTCAAGCACAAACATCGAGAAATCTCAGGATGGCATGAAAAAGGTTTTCAACAGAAACTTTTTAGAGGATATAAAACATTTAAGTAAACTTAAGGATAATGGCGCAAGAGACATAATTTCTGAGATATCAAATGACAACGACAAGAACGACAACACATATCCTAAGGAGAAAAGTGGCATGGATAAATCAGATATTATCACAAAACTAGGCAGATTGAGCAAAGAGGTAATTAAACAAAGAAATGTGAAAGTTATTCATAGTAACAAGACTGATGCATACCACGAAATAAAAACAGAAACAGGTCGGAAAATAAGTTCAGGATCAGTAAGAGACGATGTTAAAAATAGCGACCGTGGTGTAAATAAAAAGACAACTATAACAGACAACATAGAGAAAGATCGAGAGGTAAAAACGGTTCAAGAAGAAACTAAAGAAACTAAAACTGGAGATACTATAGAGAAAGTCCATGTGATAACTACAGAGAAAGATCTTAAAGTAAAACCAAAGACAGATCAGGAGGAAAATAAAGAGACACGTCTAGAGAAAAATACAGATTCAGATCGGGGGGACAATAAAGAACAGGACAGACAAGAAGAAAATAGAAATACAGGTTTTGAAGAATCTGAAGACATACGCAATGAGGAGATAATCAAAGAAACTGGTCGTGGAAATGCAAAGGACGTGGATCAAAAGAACTCTGAGGATACGGGTAAAGAGGGAATTAAAGACACAGGACGTGAGACAGCTGAAGAGACTTATCAAAAATATACTAAAAAAGAAGATGACGGGAAAAAAGATTTAAGTCGAAAAGAAAGTGAATATTCAGATGATGAAATGTATAAGAAAGTAAAATTTAGAAATAAAACCGATAATTCTCATACTACAAAACATAATTTACCTGTTCGTATTCATGACACCAAAGGTAAATTTGCCGATAACAACGATCAAAAAATGAAAAGTAAAGATAATATTTTAAATACAGATGATAAAAAAGATATTCAAAACCTGTTTGAAAAGGATACTATAAAGACTGACAGTCACGCATACAAACCTATAAAAGATAAACTGACGCATAATAAGGAGATTAATGAAAATCTAAAACACAACTTAGAGGAAACCTTAGATATTACATTCAAACCTCATTTTGACGAAAGTGAATTTAAAGGATCCGACAAAGGAAAGTTACATGACAAAAAACAGAAAACTTCAAAAGATAAAGAAACAGTAGAAGGGGAAATAAGCACCATTCGAGATAAGATGGAGGAAGAGAAGAACGTACCGAAACAGTCTATCAAAGCTTATACTGTTATTGAAGAGAAAATTAGCAGCACATCTGGTAATCATCTAACAAGACTTAGTAGTATTTCTGATAGAATATCAACCTTAGCATCATCAAAATATAATTTAACAAAAGTGCACAAAGGTGTCCCTAAAGACAATTATGGCTTTTTCACAATAGATAATCATAGAACAAACAATGATGAATTTGATAATTTGACAACTTTGCCAAAACCTAGACCTGTTGCCAAAGAGTCAGTGTTACATAAAGTTACAAGTAATTTGTTACCATCTCAAATGTCAGCAAAGAGCAAAATCACTCATGATGTTGAAGTTAGTAAAACACCCAAACGAGAAAATGTCGTTTTATCATGGACTACTGATTCTGTACAAACTAGAACGGAATCAAGATCTTTGGAGCAAAATCTTTTTTCTTCAACTAAAGTTGAGAAAAAGGAAAGTATCACTAAGACAAAAATGATGGATATTGCCGGAATGTCAAAGAAACGATATCCGACTAAAACTACTGGACCATCTGCTAAATCGTCAACGAATAGTAAACATTCCAGTACAATTCCTTCGGTTCTCAGTTTTGAAAATAAAGATTCAAACTCAGCTAGGATTTCAAATTCGAAATTCATTGATAATCAAATGAGCGCTGCAGGAAATTTTAAAGAGACGGAAAGTGAAAGAGCATTAAATAAAGTACCTAAAACAGATTTTGAAAACAACTATGCAGAAAAGTCATCATCTGGACCGTGTCAAGCCGGGTTGTAAGTATGCATTGTATAAAATTGTTTAAATACTTTTTTCATGCTTTGATCAGTGGCTGGACATGTTAACAAATCACAAATGCTTTGAATAATATTGATACAAGTACTCACAATACTTAGATAACATGCCTTTACTGATAATTGGTAGAGAAATATCTTCAAATAAGTTTGCCAGCCAAGGACTTGTTTTAAACATCATTTACATTATACATTTTTATTCATATATGTGTGTATAATACTTAGGATCCTATAATTCTGTTACAAATATGTGGACCGACTATTTATCTTTAAAAAAGGAGGAAAAACAATAAACAATGTTCATGTCGATTTATTCTTTAATTGTTTCTCTTATGAATTGTATGGAGTACAGAAAGCAAATCAATAAAAACACGAATAACCAATTTGACCGGTTTTAATAATGACAGATTCCGATAAATTGAGTTTATTATCTAATGACCACACTATCAGATAATATGAAATATATTCAAAGGTCGGACAAACAATATGTAAAGGATCGGAAATATACGCAGCAATCAGCATTCCCGTTCCCGGGTTCCTTTGATGTCAATTTTAATGGATATAACAAAATATTTCTTTTGTATTTTTTTTCTTGCAGAGATCCATCTGTACAATATACAGGATCTGCACTGGTAGCGGCAGCAGTTGGTGGTGTGTTCATTGGAGCATTTGCTGTTCTGATATTGCTTCATCTGAAACAAAAGTGTAGAAAATATGTAAATGGTGATTATAGGCGTGTACCAATGGAATATGACTTTGAATTAAATCCTAGATTTAAAAATAATTAATTGATGTATAATGTAATGTAGTGTCATGTGGTGTTTTGCAATATTTATAATAGCTCATTTGTGTATGCTACATGTATATATCTATGAAGTGCCTTTTATATATCAATGTTGTCACGAGTTTAAATTGTTAACAAAAGATGATAAAAAAGAAAACAACACCTACTTAACAACTAAATTTTTGGGGTGTGAGGTGTTGTGGTGTCAAGTGTCGTTTTTCAATTAATCAGTCTTCACATGCGATTTAATATTTAAGTGAGGTAGACAGACATTTACAAGAAAATGCATCGATCTGTACTATTGTCTGAATGACCGATGGTCAGTTATTACCAGAACACCATTGAATTTACATAAATTCCATTGTAACTACAAAAGTACAAATGTATATGTTTACATGTCAAAGCATTCTATCAGACAGGTATCTTACAGACAAGTCAGAGCTTTCAATATTTGTTTCTAACATATATTTTGCATATTCTTACACATTGTAAGTTTATGCCTACTGAATAAAATTTGATAAGAGTGCAAATTTTGTTGTTGTTTTTTATTCGCACCAATTAGGAGCGATTACCAAACTTAAGATATAATATTAAAGGACCCTTTAAAATTAACACTGAACATAAAGTTTCAAATGACATTCCGTTCCATCAATAGGTACTACTATATATTAACGCAACAGAAAAAAATGGTGAATTAATTGATATAGCACCGGGCTTCTGACGCGACCATCTCTCAATATTCAACCTTCCACACTGATGTGATACCTAGTTAGAGGACCGCTGATTAGATCATTAATCTTGAAAGCTGTCAGTGATATGACTAAAGAGTTATAATAGATACATCAACATGTTTTTTATTACTAGCCAAGTTAATCAGAGACTTTTAATCAATGATGTTATATTGTCGATCCTTGAAGATCGTTCAGCACGACATTATTGTTGTGTTTGTGGTATTTTTAATTTCAACTTGTCGGCATTTCTAGTTGGGTTGTTCCAATATTCCTACTTGAATACTGTATAATCACCCTTAGGATATGTTGCCTGCTTTTTAAATTTGTCTTTTGACGTCTTGTTTGTGATATGCAGGCTTCATAACCTCAGATCACCTCTCTAAATTCCATTTTATTTAGTTGAGCCCATTGTTTTCTCGTTTAGGGCACACTATTTTTATTACTTGGGAACCATGCATACGCCGCTTTTCATGGAATGGCACTACAGTGTCACATTGAAGGTTTCATGATAACCGCCGTATGAACACATCTGCAGATGTTTCTAAATTCAAATTTTACTATTTCATGTTTAAATGTTGAATTCTGCTTAAGCCGGTGCCAGGGGGCGTGGACGGTTACTTGCACTTTCCAGTGCCGCCCATGAACAGGCTCAATCAAACTGAGCCTGCAACATTTTCAATTTTGCCGTGTTGCGCTGTCTTTAGGGATTCTGTATTTATCTATTTTATGATCATATCCGTGTTATTTGTGCCGTGTGGCGGCTGTTGAAAGTCTCTCCGTATATTTAATAAATATGTTACTAGTATATTGTCGATCTTTGAAGATCGTTCAGCACGACATTATTGTTGTGCTTGTGGTATTTTTAGTTTCAACTTTTTGGCATTTCTAGTTGGGTGGTTCCAATATATTCCTACTTGAATAATGTTGAATCACCTTATAGGATATGTTGCCTGCTTTTTAAATTTGTCTTTAATTTGACGTCTTATCTGTGAAACGCATGCTTCTTAACATCTGATCCCCTTTCAAAATTCCATTTACTTAGTTCCGCCCATTGTTTCTTCTCGTTTAGGGCACACGCTTTTTATTACTTGGGGACCATACGCCGCTTTTCATGGAATGGCACTACAGTGTCACATTGAAGGTTCCATGATAACCGCCGTATGAACACATCTGCAGATGTTTCTTAATTCAAATTTTACTATTTTATGTTTAAATGTTGAATTCTGCTTAAGCTTTTGCTAGGGAGCATGGACGGTAACTTGCACTTTCCAGTACCGTCCATGAACAGGCTCAATCAAACCGAGCCTGCAACATTTTCAATTTTGCCGTGTTGCGCTTTCTTTGAGGATTCTGTATTTATCTATTTTATGATCACATCCGTGTTATTTGTGCCGTGTGGCGGCTGTTGAAAGTCTCTCCGTATATTTAATCAATGATGTTATATTGTCGATCTTTGAAGATCGTTCAGCACGACATTATTGTTGTGCTTGTGGTATTTTTAGTTTCAACTTTTTGGCATTTCTAGTTGTGTGGTTCCAATATATTCCTACTTGAATAATGTTGAATCACCCTTAGGATATGTTGCCTGCTTTTTAAATTTGTCTTTAATTTGACGTCTTATCTGTGAAACGCATGCTTCTTAACATCTGATCCCCTTTCAAAATTCCATTTTACTTAGTTCCGCCCATTGTTTCTTCTCGTTTAGGGCACACGCTTTTAATTACTTGGGGACCATACGCCGCTTTCATGGAATGGCACTACAGTGTCACATATTAAATGTTCCATGATAACCGCCGTATGAACACATATGCGGGTGTTTCTAAATTCAAAATTTTACTATTTCATGTTTAAATGTTGAATTCTGCTTAATGCCGGTGCTAGGGGGCGTGGACGGTAACTTGCACTTTCCTGTACCGTCCATGAACAGGCTCAATCATTTTCAATTTTGCCGTGTTGGGCTTTCTTTGCTGTACTGCAGACTGCAGTAGGGATTCTGTATTTATCTATTTTAAATTACACTGGAGCCAAAAACATACAGTTATTTTTTGTCCCAGTTTACAGAATGTATCGATATATTTAAATGTAGCCCTGCCAATTAATTAAGCGTGAACGGTTTAACCCATTTGACGGATTGTTTTTTTTTCTGCCTGTTGAACATGCAAATAGTGGCGTTCAACCTCAAATGTTTGTGAATGTCACAGACGGTATAATTTCTAATACCGCCGGAAGTATACATCGCGACAGACGCATTCCATCAAAAATATTTGTTTATTTCACTTAGTTGCTGACTTGCTGAGTACAACATGTTTAAAGCAAAGATTTTAGTGCTAGGACCATGTGAGGTAAGTTTCATTATACCAGTAATGTGTTTCTGAAAAAAGGTTTCTTTATTTTGAAGAGCATGGAGTCATATTTGCGCTTGTCACTGAAAAATTTAACGGTTTTGCATGAATGTATGAACATGATGAATATCTTGTGTTACTTTTCTGAATCTTTAAAGAATTTGTGCATGCTATAACTATAGGGTCAATAGCGATTTCGCTCCACATCAAGACGGTTCACTTTATGGGAGTGAAATGTCTGGCATTCACTAATCAATAGCTAGGCAGTCAAAATGTGAGAAAAATGGGAAAAGAGTCAACCCTATACCAACTCGGCAAGGTCAACTCGGCACGGGTCAACTCTATCTATCTATCTCTGGATACTGCCAACCCCTCTTACGAGTGTTACAGGCAGGTATACATTGTATACATTTAAGAAACAGCTTTAAGATACAAGGGAATCCGGGAACCAGTCCCTAGCTCTTATTGAATAGACAGACCCCTGGTTTTTTCCCAGTATATAGCACTGATTCATGCGAGGATTGGTCTGCATTTCTTACCAGTACACCTCTATGTAGGTGGGAAACACTGAAAGTGTCTCTGAAAAATCCCAAGGGTGTAACCCAGGATCGAACCCGGGACCTCAGGAGTGATAGTCAGTGGTTTAAGTGGTTTAACCAACTGAGCTATCGCGCCAACTCGGCCCACTTTACAAAAATATATAGCCCTACAACGTATTTACTTTGTTTTGCATGTTGTTAAGGTAAATGAATAATAAGAAATATCTTATTATCTATTATATAATTATACATCTGCTGAAATAAAGTATATTTAGAAAAAAAAGTTATTTATTTGTTTTGCAGATTCGATATAATTAATATAGACACTGTCACGATTATTGAACCTGGGAAGAAAAAATATGAACAGATTGATAAAATATCTTCATATTTTTTCTTCCCAGGTTCGATACTTGTGGCTGTGAATATAGATATGATAAAAATGTGTTTCCCTAGATGCATTTTGTTTGTAAAGTAATTTTCAAAAAAATATGAAACAAAATGTGTTTACTTAATAGCATAAGCTTCTAATTAATTGCAGGTGGTCATTAATCAAATTTGAATGAATGAGTCAATCATAATTGTAATCGTTATCTTAAACATACACATTGATCGATAATAATAGCCCGTGCCAAAAGGAGTCCTTTGATGTCCTTTACCCATTTTTAAAAGTGGGCCGGGTTGGAATAGGGCCGAGCTGACTCGGGGGCCCGAGTATGTTTTAGGGCCGAGCTGACCCTAAATCAGAAAAATGTGCAGCCTGACTTGGACTGGAATCTGCGACCCTGGGAAGGGTGAAAGTGGTTTTTACGAACTATCAGTTTGGCAAACTTATCTAATATAATATTATATGTTGTGGTTTCAGCCAACTTAGTTGATAGTGTTAAAAATATTTAGTAGATCTTGTAGTTCTGGCTTCCAAAACTTTATAAGCCGCTATTTAACGTTTTTTTCATCTGATGCGGCCATGACATTCAGGTGCCACGCGAGACCTCGTATGACGTCATTCGCGGGAACAGATTTGAATAGTCATGTACTATATCTAGAACATTTTGTTGACATGATTTCGATATTTTTATTCAAGATAAAGTTTTTACTTATTTTCATTAAATTTTTAGTACTTAAATATGCTTTTATTGAATATAAAAGGCAGTAAATCACCCTTTTCAATATCTTTGAAAAAAAGTAATTTATAAAAATATTGGAGGCACGTTGGTTCATAAATGTCAATCTCGTAATCACATGGTCAAACATTTTGGCAATATGGCGGCCAAGTGCCGTGTTTTAAATTTTAATATAGCGGGGGAGTATGTCACAGTTAAGAACTGTTCACTATTTATTTGAGAAGATGTGTAATGGTTTGATACATTTGAGGTTCCGGAGTCAGTACAGCTGCAATACAGTATTCCGAAAGTCGTGGGTTTGAGTCCTGGTCAGGCTGCTACTTTTTATCACCCTGTGACAGGAAAAGTTACAGTTCAGCTGTTTATGGCTTTTTTTTGTGCTGTGCAGTACCAGTTAAATATCTAAAGCACATTGTGTCAGAGTCAGACTTTGGACTCACCAGTTTAAGTTCTCAAATTCCTTTATAATACAGCACTTTATTTACAAAAGATATATTTATCAAACTTTTAATGTGTATTCTTTCTTACAGAGTGGCAAAACAGCTTTATCAAATTTCCTAGCAGATGCAACAGACACATCTAGTGGAGATTATCATCCAACACAAGGTGTTAGGTATAAAAGTTTTCTCCCTGAATTATACTGGTGTTCCCTGCCACAAGACACTTTACTAATGACTGTCTGAGTTTATCATATTAGAATTTCTGAATTTAATAATGGACGAATTCAAAAGCAAGATCAGCGCATGGGTCTGAGCTAATGTTTGAAAGAAGCTGGGTCATTTCTCAAAGTAGATGGGTATATAAGTAACAGAAAAAGAATGTAAAAGAAATTAACAAATGTATGTGGGAAGCCTACAACAATGTTGCAGGGCTTTACCTAGGTACAAGGTCATAGGTCAAAGCCCCGCGCTCATTAAATACATGTACATGTAATTGGTACAGACTAGGTACAGATAGTAATACTTAACATATAGGCACACCCAGTCAAAAATTTAAAGTACAGCATTGCAAATTAAAAGTATAAAAAGAACTTCATTATTAAAGTTATGTAGGTAACTTTACCAATTTCTTAAAATTTTAAACATATACATTATACAAGTATATTATTTTAAATTCCAATCAACACACATATTAACTGTCTTTAAACTTTTTTTCACCATATCAAATCTTGCATTCAGGGAAGTATTTAGTTTCTCATTTTTGCATTTTCAGAATTTTGGAGTTTGAAAATCACAACCCAAGTGCCGGACATGGTAGACAGTCTGCTGTTGAGGTAGAGTTATGGGACTGTAGTGGTGATAAAAAGTAAGTTTGTCATTTGAACAGTACATGAATGTCATAATTTAAGGCCCAAATGGAATTTTAGCAGTTATTAGAATGGACCTTATAGTGTTTTATGAAATCCAGGGTGTCCATTTGACCCTTGAAATGACTCTTTGACCCTTAAAATTTCCAAAAGGCCTGATTTGACCCTCAAGATTTTAACTGGAGGGTCAAATTTTGTGAAAATCACAGAGATTTGACATTGTAGTCGGTAAGACTTAGTCAAAATGACCCTCAGGATTTCATGGCTAATGAACACCCTGAAATCTATAGATCTGCTTTAACACTTGCTAAAACTGAAAGGCTTTGTTCAGAGTTTAAGTTCTATTGTGACATCAGCAGGTGTTGCTTAAAGAACTGTGTTGCCAGATGTAAAAAAATTGCCCCATACTGCAAGTCAGTGTTGTTATATTTTTCTGGTCCTTCAAGGTTTATGATTCTTATATCAGATAGAATTATCTACTGTTTACAACAGAGCTAGAAAAACCTGTCTCAATACACCCCCCCCCCTCCCCCCTCCCCCCCATGTTAGACAAGTTGCATGCTTTAATGCTTAAATATGGCATTTCCACTGTTTATGAATAAATTGCATGCTTAGAATGTGAGAATGGTGCCATTTTGCTGTTATTAATAGAGTTGTAAATTTATAAGTATTTGGTAAGTATAAGAAAATGTGCTCAATGAAAATATAAAAATCTGGAAACAAAGTGATCCCTCAGATGCAAAATTACAAAAGAATTGCCGACTCGGTTTGATTGAGTCTGTACATGAGGGATAATGAATATGTGCAACGGATTGATCGGTACACAGCTTCAGGGTTACTGTTGACGGCATTAACAAAGCTCTGCCGAGAATTCGTTAAAGAGTTACCTGAGAGCTAGATATTCCTGTCTGTAAAATCCTTATATTCAAATAAGTTTAGTGTTGAGGATTAAATGCTGCTAAACTTGTTGATAAAGGGCTTTTGCATCAGGGATGATACTGCACTTTACATTATCTCACAAACAGACTGTATCAAACCAAGTCTACAGTTGTTTAATATTTGCTTTTTTTTCATAGCTCCTGAGTGATCACCCATTTTCCAGATTTTTTTAATACATGGTAAAGTATATAAAAACATTATATTTAAGAAATAGATATCAATTTTAAGTGCATTATTGTACAATAATGCACGGTTTGAGTTCAAATGCATAGGAATATAATCACGAAGGCCGATAGGCCTGAGTGATAAATTACAAAGCATTTGAACGAAAAACATGCATTATTAGACAACAATGCTTGAAGAATTAATATCTATTTCCATTCTAACACATCAAGAAAAAATATAAGCATTATTATAAAGCAATTTAGCTCACCCAGGACTTTAAGTTTGGTGGTTAATTTTTTTTCACCTCAGAGTTTCCGATAGAACGTTCTTTAAAGGCTGTGCCAGTGGGTTGAAAAAAAACTGTCGTTAAAACAACCATGTGTAGCAACATTTTGAGAATAATGAATTTTGAAAACGTTGACAAAACTTTGTTTATTTTATTTCACTCTGTAATTTTTCAAGCAAAAAACAAATTATTAAAAGTGAAATAAATGTAAAACTTAATTTGTTTGCGACATTAAAATGCGTATTTGATTTGATTGTTTTGCACATGCATTGTGATGTCACATAAACAACACTTTAAACATCTGACTACAGCGTTTAAACTACTGAATTAAAGATATTGGTGTTCGGATTCATGTTCTTAGTTAGTTCATTTTCTTTCATTCTAGATAGTTTTCAAAAACAAAATTCAACAAAAAATTGTTTTATTTATTTATCAGATTTTTCAAACATAATGGCACCCTCAATGTGATAACACATAGGGAGATAATAAGAACGGATTGTTGTAGAATAATGCATGTTTCGAGCCTTCTTTGTTTATATAGAAAAAATTCTGATAGTGTTAGAATAATATTTCAGATTTGAGGCGTGTTGGCCAGCAATGGCTAGAGATGCCACTAACATTATATCAATATTTCAGGTTTGAGGCATGTTGGCCGGCAATGGCTAGAGATACCACTAACATTATATTAATATTTCAGGTTTGAGGCATGTTGGCCGGCAATGGCTAGAGACACCACTGGAATCATATTTGTTTACAATCCTGACCAACCTAACCATGATAAAGATCTAGAAAACTGGTAAACACCTTTTTGGTTTAGTGCAATGTACATTTAATAGTCTGTAATAATAAAGGCCCATTGTGCCTGAGAAATGTTATGATTTCTTTTTCCCAAAACTGTTTATTTTTGGTATCTTATTACAATTTCCAAAAATATACTTATTTGCTATTCACATGAACAATCTTTGCATCTTAGCTGTGTTGGCAATTGGTATAATTATATTGAATTAGTATTTTGTATGGAGGTCAAAAAACTACTTTGTTTACATAGAGTTACTTTTACGACAAGGCACTACTTTTTATGCCCCCGCAATGTGGGAGCATATAGCGTTGCACTTGTCCGTCCGTCCGGTACGTCCCGAAATCTTGTGAACGCAACTCCTCTTAAACCGGATGGCAGATTTTGCTTAAACTTACAGGGATGAACAGCCTTAATATGTAGATGGTAGTAAAGGAAGGAATTTTTGCTGTGACCAAATTTAAGAGAATTATTGCCCTTTGTTGATTTTTTTACTAGATACTATATAGAAATTTTGTGAACGCAACTCCTCTTAAACCGGATGACAGATTTTGCTTAAACTTACAGGGATGAACAACCTTAATGTGAAGATGGCAGTAAAGGAAGGAATTTTTGATGCAACCAAATTTTACAGAATTATGGCCCTTTGTTGATTTTTTCACTATATACTATGTAGAAATTTTGTGAACGCAACTCCTCTTAAACCGGGTGGCAGATTTTGCTTAAACTTACAGGGATGAACAATATTAAGGTGTAGATGGTATTAAGGGAAGGGATTTTCGCTGCGACCAAATTTTTGAAATTATGGCCCTTTGTTGATTTTTTCCTATGGACACATTTCTAGTTTTAGTTTTAAAACATCTAACATGCATTTGATCCATTATTAAACACTTATTTGACATTCCTAAAGAATTATGAATTCTCAGGCATAATGTGCCTTTAAAGTCATATGATAAAGATGAGATTGTGATTTAAGTTTAAAAGAATAATTATAAAGATACAATATAATTGTGTTAGAGCTGTGAGCTAGCCATTATTACTCTGAGAATAGAGTTTTTCTCTCACTGGGAACCAAATTATTTTTATAAATTTCTTAAAACTTTAATATTTTTAAATACTCTGAAGTTGAAATATATGTATATATATAACATGTACAAGCATGAAAAAGTGTCACCTAAAATTGTAAATGTTAGAACCTTCTTTGGAAAATTTTGTAGAGTTTTTTTTATACTCCACAATAAGAGCAAGAATTATGAAATTTGATGTCAAATTTTGTTAACTTGTTTAAAAATGAAATGACAATAAGTAGAGCATATTCAAATATTTCTTTTGGATAAAGGATTTATTTCATTTTTCTCTTTTTTGACCTTTAAATTTGAAATACTTCCCTTTTATTTTTGTGTATTGGAAACAAGTCCAGCAAGACACTATATATACAGAAAATATGGAAAATGTGTTTCACTGCAGTAAAAAATAATTATTTACAGTGTAAGACAGTAAGACAAACTTTATTTATAGTCAGTTATGGTTAACAGTACAAAACATAAGCTTTAAGCTTGTATCCGACATAGCTTGTATCCGACATAAATAAATAAGTGTTAATAATTAAAATAAAAATATACACATTATTTCACCAATATTCTTCAGTATTTCATTTACAAGTATGTAATTAATGTTAATCATGAATATTTTCTATGCTACAGGTATGCATATTTTATAGATGACCAGGGCATAAAGGAAACATCTTGCTGTGTTTTTGCCCACCATAAACCTAGTGCCCCTGACAGAGAGAGAGCACAATTATGTGAGTCTTGACAAAAACATTTCTAAGTTTTGTTTTACTAATGTGATCTTATTTTTTTCCTAACTTTTTCCGAATTTTTTTTAAATCTTTTAAATAGCACAGAATGACAGGGATTGATCAATGTTAGAATGTATAGCACCACTGTAGCAATCAATATTGTAAGCTAATAAATCAATGCTTAAATATTCTATATATCATTTTAAGCACAACAATTTGCTGAAACGCAGGGCACTGTGGTACTAAACACTCCTGTTTAATTGTTAACCCAACCCCTGGTTATAGTTTTGCATGCATTTTCATATGTCATTAATTAACTAAGTGAGCAGCGCCATGACAAAACCAACATAATGGGTTTGCGACCAGCATGGATCCAGACCAGCCTGCGAATCCGCGCAGTCTGATCAGGATCCTAGCTGTTTGCTTACAAACCCTATTACAAGTAGGGAAACTGATAGCGAACAGTATTGATCCTGATCAGACTGTGCAGATGTGCAGGCTGGTCTGGATCCATGCTGGTCGCAAACACACTATATTGGTTTTGTCGTTACGTGGCTCATATGTCATTTATAAACTAAATGTATTCACATAAAACATCACACATACATTGTAGTTGTAAGCATTTCTAAGGCCTAGAGCAACAAAGAGACCTTAAATGTCCATTGATTTAATATTAAAAAAAAAATTCTTGTTAAAAATGAAACTTGTAACATCTATTTCCAAATGATTTAGGATATTCACTTGATCGAAAGGTCAGGTTCATTATTGTAGGGTAAATGACTAAGACCAATATAAATTCTAGCACATTTTTTACTAGATTAACTCCCATTGTGCATTAAAAGGTTTCTTTTTTTCTTTCATTTCTAAAAATAATCAGGTGCGTCTGACTGGCAGCTACTGTTTTATCATATTTTATTTGTTGATATGGTAATTTTATATGTTAGATCTATTTCCAGATTTCTTATCGGTCAGTAAACATGGTTAAAATTTTCCTGGCATTCTTAATGGTCTGTTTCAAGTGCATTATAATATTACATTTGAATTAAATAAGTACAAATTTATTTGGGGCACCCAGGGCTCTCGATTGACACGGGGATCCGGGTTTTGACTCGTGAAAATCAGGAAATGCACAAATTTGACACGTGATAAAATCTGCACAAGAGTCAATTTGCCCCGTGGGATTTTCAGCTATGCAATAATAATTACCTTTAATCTACTCCTAATTACCTATCAAATCCTACATATGTTAAAATCACACTCAAAAAAATGTCACCGTGTGTAATACACAGCATTGTTTATAGCCTGTGCACTGAAGCGTGACATCAGTGGATGCAATTTGACAGCGCTAAAAATAGCTCTACACAACTGATAAGAATTACATACTTGACTATTGAATGCCGGTAGGGACATGCCAATTTGCTTATTTGCCAATTACTGAATTGCTTATTTGCTAATTGCCGATTTACTTATCTGCCAATGGCTGATAGGCTTAACGACAAATTTGCTTATTTGCCAATTGCTTAATTGCTAATTTGCTTATTTGTTAACCGCTGGTTTACGTATTTGCTTATTTGCCTATTGCTAATTTGCTTTTTTGCAATAGAAAAAGTTTACAATGTGCCGGAAGTATATGGAAAATCTGACTACAGACAACCAGTTGAGCCAGATCTGTTAACTTTTACCAACAGTATTCTTGTAAATTCAGTGTTTTTCCAAGAATACTGTTGGCCAATGAATTTAGTTGCAGTGATGCCTACGCAGATATATGTCTACAACTGATGGCTGACATGTCCTTGAGAACACAGACACTTGGGGGTCAGATCCCAACGTGATATGTGGCTGTGTAAACACTCTAAGATATTTTAATATTTAAACACGAATTGGACATCGTTAAAACTGGTTTTCAAGCAATTTTTACATATACCGGTATGAAAAAATACCATATACCACCAAGTCTCAATAAAGTACTTAATGGTTTTATCGTTGTAACAGATGTCCAATTCGTATTTAAATAAATATTAAAATAGTTTTGATATAGTGTTTATAGACGCGTATCACGTTATGGGCAAGATCTGACCCGCCAGCATCTGTGCTTGAGAATGTCTTATAATGTGCTGCAGCTATATATCTGTTTGTGCAGCTTAACTCAGAGATTGATGGCATAATAAACACTTGATAAGTCATATATAAGTGAAAATTATTGGGTAAAGATTGAAAATAAAAGAACTTGAAAACAAAACTATTTCTCATTTTATGGCATATAACATGTCGTTATTCTCAGTTATTCTCATTTGTCATAGAGGGCCTCATTCTAGTGGTACGAACACATAGTATCACAAATGATACACTTGGTGTATGCCAAACACGGGTGTTTGTCTTTGCACTTAAGCAATAGGCTTCGTTTTTAGCTCTGTAAGATTTTAGATCACTTATGTCTGTGTGTGCATCAACATTTTGCTTTGGTTCAATGTTTTTGAAATTTGGTCACACTTTTCCATTTCTATGTGTTGTACATTTTACATGCTATCAGGTGACCATGACCATGACCATGACCTAGGGTATAATGGACAAAGCCTCTTTGAATATTGTGTATGCATGCTGCTTATGTAATGCTTATGTGAAGTTACAGTTAGATATAAGCAATAGAAACAGAGATATGACAGAAAAACAAAGGCTTCTCAGTACAATACATTGGTGACCTTAACATTCAGTATATAATGGGCACAGCTTCTTCATGTACTTTGTATGCATGCTTGTAACGCAAAGTTTATGCAAAGTTGCAGTAAGATGCATGAATCAGCAAAAGTAACATAGATATGACAGAAAAACAAGTTACCAAGAAAACCAATGCATTGGTGGGTAGAATAGCATCCCTATTCTCTGAATAGTGGAGCTAAAACTGAAACTCAAGATAATTTAAAAAAACAACTACTTTCTGAAACTGAATTTATTTTTTTCGAAATTGATTAAAATGTATCCATCTGTCTTTCTACCTATATTCTAGGTAATGATGGATTGATCATAATTGTCACAAGTTAAAATTAACAAAACTTTATAAACATAATTGTTTATAATAGCATGATGTAGGTTCATGAGCTTGAAATAAAGACTTGTTATTTTATATCAAACAAGAACTTCGCGAGTCGGACGTGTCGCCTGACAATAGCATAAAAATTTATGTATATAAGCAAATAAGCAATTAGTAAATAAGCAAATTAGCAAATCAGCAAATAAGCAAATCGGCAATTACCAAATAAGCAATTAAGTAGTTGGCAAATAAGCAAAGTGGCATGTCCCTACCGGCATTCCATACTTGAGGTGTCAAATTATTGATTGCTTTTAAAGGTTTATGATACGTCTTTGATTTACTTGGAGTGCCTGTACATTTGTTATTTCCATTAGATATTCCTAGTGCATTTTGGTATTTAAAATTAATATGATATATAGCATACCAGTAAAGATAATTTTTATATTTTAAACTTTTAATCAGAAAAGCTGCTGCTTAATTTATTCTTTCACAGTAAAGATGCTATTAATTTATTTTGTTCTCTTTTTTTTTTTGGGGGGGGGGGGGGGGGTTATATACATTATAACTAGGCATTTTTTCAATGTTAAATATTATCAATTTGACTGAGAAACTACAAAAAAATTTCCTCCAAACGTAATTTTTTTTAACATAAAAAAGATTCATGTGCAAATACACTAGAAAAAATTATTTGATCATGAAATTTTGGGCCAAAAAGTCTTTGCTTCGTGAAATTTTTTACCCTCTGAGGCCCTGGGGAACCTGCTGAGGGGGTTATGGTAGGTTGTCAACTTCAAAACATTAGTCCATTCATCCCCTTTGAGGTTCAAAACCTGCAAAACTGTTAAAAACTTAGATTGGGGCTGTTAATTTTCCCCTTTGAAAACTTTTGGGGGTTTTCCGGTTCCTGTTGTGCCGAAAATTAAATCCTTGGGGACCCAAAACTGTTCCCCCAGTAGCTGCAAAGTCTTTAACCCTTTTTATGTCAAACAAAAATTCTTCATGAACAAAATTCTTAAAACACATACATGTACATCTAAACATTGATACTGAAGTTTTTCATTTCTGTATTATGACATTACAAATATATATGCATTGATAGTTATACACCTATAAATATCAGATCACTTGTACCATTTTTAGCTCACCTGTCACAAAGTGACAGGGGGTGAGCTTTTAGTGATCACTTTTTCGTCCGTACGTCCGTCCGTCATATGTAAACTTTTAATTTAAATGAACATCTCCTCATAAACTGCTAAGCACAATTTCATTCAACTTCACATGGGAATGCTCCTTAGGTGGTCACCCCTTTGAAAATTGTTTCAAAAGAATTTAATTCCATGCAGAAACTCCCCTGGTTGCCATGGCAAACCAAAAGAAAAAAACTTGAAAATTATTTTCTTCTAAAAAACCCAAAACAGCTAGAGCTAAGATATTAAGAGTGAAACATCTTCTAGTGAGTGTCTACCAAATTTGTTCAAATAAAAGCCCTGGTGTCAAAATTGGCCCCGCCCAAGGGGGTCCTTGATTTTCCCTATATGCATATAGTAAAAACTTAAAAAATCTTCTTTTAAAGAATCAAAAGAGCTAGCGCTAAGATATTTAGCATGAAACATGTTCTAATTGATGTCTCCCAAGTTTATTCAAATAAGAGCCCTTGGGTCAAAATTGGCCCCGCCCCGGGGGTCATTGATTTACAAAAACTTAAAAAATATTCTTTGAAAAAACTCAAATACTAAGCTAAAGTTTAGATATTAAGCACAAAGCATCTTCTAGTGAGTGTCTACAAAGTTTGTTCAAATAAAAGCCCAGTGGTCAAAATTGGCCCGGCCCAGGGGACATTGATTTTTCCTTATATGTGAAGAGCAAATACTTAAAAAAATTCTTTGAAAAAAAACCCAATAGCTATTGTTTAGATACATTTGTGTATTAAGCATGAAACATTTTCTAGTAAGTGTCTACAAAGATTGTTCAAATG